CTTCCGATCTAAATAATTTGTATAATTTGTAAGATAATGTCATTATATTACACATCGTTGTATTCGTTAAAAAGAACGCTACAACTTTTATCATATTAAAATTGTCACTTTATCGTGCAAAAATTAATCACGTCTTTCTGCTCTCTAACATAGATATAATATTTCTAAGTAATCACTGTGCTTACAATAAAGTTTAGCCAGAGCCGTTTAATTTGATATTATATTTATTAGGTCTGTCTCTATTAATTTACAAGATAAAAAGGGATGGCCACTTATACGGGGACACCCTGTATATATTTAAAAAAATTTTTTTCGGCCCAGCCTAATATATATATATATTAGCTGAAAATTTTTTTTAAATCGATTAGTGATACCCCCCAAAAGTTATCTGTGGACCTCAATATGGTTAGGATAAAATTTCATCGAAATCGATTAATATCTTCAGGTTGCTCCTCGATCTTACAGTCAGTAAGTTTATGTACTTCTTCATAGATGTGTTAAAATTCGAAAAAAATATTTGAATTTCAATACAGTTTAGTATCACCTGTTTTTTGGTCGCTGAACACGAATTCGACGTCAGAAGTATATTTTTCAAAATGACGGATCCGAAATATATTCTTAAATAATACATTAAGATTTCTTGAAAAATGTGATAGATATGAAAAAATGTTTCAAATAAAAATCGTACGATTTGGGGAGGTACATAAGAAAATATCATTAATTTTATTTTAGGTGCTGCCGTTAAGATCAGATCAAAATCACAGCGATTTTTTTAAACGGAATATATATTTTTTACATAATACGATTCCTCTAATTATTCTGCATATAAAAGTATTAAGGTAAAGTTATCGAAAAATCAATATTTTACAAGATATTTTATACTTTATCATGCCATATTTCGATATATAATATGAAATATCTCGTAAGATATTGATTTCTTGATAATGTACCTAATATTTTTAGGTACAAAATAATGAGATGAATCGATTGGTGTAAAAAAAACACAGTTGCTTTAAAACTTATACTAATTTCAAAGTCGAGGGACAACCTGAAGATATTAATCGATTTCACTGAAATTTTACCCAGACTATATTGAGGTCCATAGTTAACTTTTGGAAGGTATTCGTAATCAATTTTAAAACAAATTTTTTTTCGGTCCACTAATATATACATATCTCTTGCACATTCACATTTCATTCACTCTACATGCGCTCAACATATATATATATATATATATATACAGGGTGGACCATTTTAATCCATCCAGTCGAATATCTCGAAAAATAAGCACACTAGGAAAAAATGTTTCAGACAAAAGTTGTAGGGGTAGTAGTTCGAGGGGGACATAGATGATAACATTGGTTTGACCCTGAGTGACGTCGTCAAGGTCAGGACAAGGTCACTTTGAATTTTATAAATGGAACCCCCAATTTTTCATTAAATGTTCTTATAGCACTCCTCGAGAACTTTCCAAAACACATAAAA